GACAGGCGACTCCGCGCCGGGAACTGGTTCAAGATCTCCCCGCAGTTCTTCTCAAATCCAAAGCCGACAGTACCGCGAGGAAGTACGAAAAGGGCTTCAATACATGGAGAAAATGGGCTTCTCAATTTAAAGAAATTGTAATATTTCCCGCTTCTAGTGTGTACGTTTCATTGTTTTTTCTTATCTTGCAGAGCTTGATTCAAGAATCTGCTTCTTGCAGTACTATTGATGAAGTCCATTATGGGCTCAAGAGGGTGCATGATTTGGCAGGTCTACCCTACCCCTGTAATTCCTCGTTAGTTTTATCTATAATAGAATCTGCTAAGAGGCTTCTCAGTATCCCTGTTAAAAAGAAAGAGCCTCTGACCCCCGAGGCTATTCAGCTTTTATTTGCTAAGTATGGATCGTCTTCAGCTAGTTTGTCCGATTTACGAGTGCTTACTTTGTGCGTTTTAGGTTATGCAGGGTTTTTTCGCTTTAACGAGTTGGTTCAGTTACGCAGGTGTGATTTTCAGTTTGAGGATTCTTTTATGAGAATCTTTGCTCATTGAAGTAAGACTGACTTTTACAGGGATGGGGCTTGGGTCGCTAAAACTTTCAAGCATACCTGTCCTTATTTATTAGTTCAACGATATTTTGTGACCGCTTCTTTTTCAGCTGACAGCGAAGAATTCATTTTTCGCCCTCTTGTTTTCCTTCGCGGTACCGGAGCTTGTAAATTGCGCGGGTCCGTTCCTTTGTCTTATACGCGGGAGATGGTGCTAAGCGCTTTCGATTCCATCGGCCTTCCCAAGCAAGACTACGGTCTCCATAACCTTAGGGCTGGAGGTGCCTCCGCTGCTGCTAATGCCCGAGTGCCTGACAGATTGTTTAAAAGACACGGCCGTTGGAAATCAGATAAGGCAAAAGACGGTTACATTAAGGATAATGTCCATTCATTGTTGTTGGTTTCGTTATCACTGGGTATTTAATTTTCCGTATTTCCCGTTCTTTTAGTTCGCACACGGCTCGTGTTGACACACCCCAATTGAGGTTGCTTGTTACATGATAAATGTTTTATATTCGTTTGAGCGGGGTAGCGAATTAGAATATAACACGAGATTCCGTTCGGAAATTCCAACCGGGAAAACGGGACCACCTTTTTAGATTTTCCACTTTTTCTGGGAATTTTCCAGTGGAACGAACCGACGAAACGTTTTCCATTTATCGCCGTACCGGAAATTCCGGAAATTTTGAGTAAATGGAAAGCGCCCATTGAGATAACTATGATTCAGCCAAAACAGGAAACGTTAAGCTAAAAACAGGAAAAGGTAACAAAGGAAATTACCACAGGAATAGTTTAATCGCTCTGTTGATCGACAAAAAGGGTTCAAGAAACTTCGGAACGATACTAAACAGCCTCTAGGCCTTGTTTAGTTCACCACCAGTAGGCACTCGTCTGCTGTATTTCGAATTGCGTAGGCATGGTGGTAACAAACGCTAGTTCTGCGGAACAATTTTGCTTGGAGGTGTTTTCTGTGAAACTACATGGCGAGTTGATCTTTCTTACAGTGGTAAATATGTTCCTTTCAATTACTGCATTTCTGGGGAATACTCTGATTCTGGTTGCGCTACACAGAGAATCTTCACGTCGTCCGCCTTTTGCTTCCATAGTACTGTATCGTAACCTAGCAATAACGGATCTCTGTGTTGGTATATTAGTGGAGCCAACGTATATTGCCTATTTGATGTCCTTGATGGGCAAAAGATTTGATATTTGTCATTACACACGTATGACATGCTTTTTAACAACGAGTGTACTATGTGCAGTTTCTTTTCTGACCTTGACTGCAATTAGCGTGGACAGACTTCTCGTTGTTTTGCTGAGGCTCAGATACAGACAAGTTGCAAGTTCTAAACGAAAAGTTATAACTGTTATTGTTTTCTGGATATTATCCATCGTTGGAGCTTCACAATACTTTTGGGGTCCTCTTTTAAAAACGTGGCTGTTTGGCAGGACAATAACACTTCTTTGTCTGATTACCTCAATTTTCTCTTACACAAAAGTATTGTTAACCCTTCGTCACAACCAAGTTGATGTTCAGAACAGCGCTGCTCGAGGACAATTAAGCCAAGCAATTCCAGGGAACATAGCTCGGTACAGAAAGGCAGTGTACAGTGTACTGTGGGTGCAGGCAGCATTGTTCTTTTGTTATCTACCCGTGGGAATAGTGGGAGCATTTACACCTCAAAGAGGGCCAGTGCCTGTAAAGAATTACCTTGCTAGACAATTTGCCGTTACTTTAGTTTATTTGAACTCGTCAATAAACCCGCTGCTTTACTGCTGGAAGATACGAGAAGTAAAGCGAGCTGTAAAAACCACAATCAGACAACTGCTCTTTTTGTCGACTTAGGTAAATTTTTTTTCTTTTGAAATATACCGTTAACGTCTTCTTATAAGCCCTGGGATTAAACAGCCATAGTAAGAGGTATTAGGAGGGCTTGCAAACCGGGGGGAGGGCTTATATCCCGAGGGTCTTATAACCGGACTTAAAAAAGAGTTTCAAACTAGTAGGACTGATCAAAATACACTTTTTGAATTTACCCGCTTTTTTAAGCTTCAAAGTATCGTAAAAAATCGAATTAATTTCAATACAAGCTAGAGGAGGGCTTATATCCGGCAGGCAGGAAAATTCAGAAATTTTGTGAAAGAAAATTTTATCCTACTGGCCTGGCGAACGTTAAAGACGATTTTAAAAATTTAATACAATCTTAGAACTCACTGAACTCCACGCCCCTATTAGACATATGCCTGTGAGACAATCATCAATATCGTGGCTCACATCTGACATAAAGAAAGTAATGAAAGACAGAGACTATCATAAAAATATGCTGTAAAATATTCTCGCGCGCCCGTTTTTTCTTGTGTCCACTACTTCCAAGTGCCTTCTACACAGGCTAGGCTTGCATAGCCACTGGAAACTTAATCAATCTGCCAGAAATAAGGTAAATACTGAGATGCGCAAAGAGAAATCACACTACTATCACCCTAAGATAAGCTGGAAAATAAAAAATTCACTCACCGGCAAGGGCAATAATTTAAAAACTACTCTTATTAATGATGATTGTCTCGGCTTTAGACCTGCACCGATAGAGAGCAAGGCAATACTTGTGAAATAATAGCCAATTGAATATATTAATCTTATGTTCAAAAAGAGCAAAAAATTACTCAAAATGTAACTCTGAAAGAAAACCTTTGATTATTTTATAGTGCGTGTATCATTAGTTAGACGTTATTGTTCTTTATTGTAAAAAGACCGATAACTTCATATGGAGAGTAAGGCACAATAAAGATACCGTTACTGTTACTGTTACTGTTCAGTGGCGAATCCACACCTTCAGATAAAGGTGGAGCCCAGTCCCAAAACATTTTTTTCGGCCCTTTGGGCCTCAGTTTGGTCTAGAAATAGGGGGTGCGAGACCCCCGGGCCCCTCCCCTGTATCCCCCACTGCTGTTATACTGTTACTGATTCCCCCGTCGGGGCTGTTCATGATAGCCGCGTTGTTTGGAAAAGACACCCCAGGGCACAGGATCGATAAATAGATGATAAAAAAAACGACTAGAACAACTGGCGAAATATACAGCCGGGTCGAAGGAAAGAGTAACAAGTCTTCTTTAAATTTTCAGATTAATTAGTGTTTTGATTAATTATTCAGTCAATCACAATCAGACAATTAAGTACTAATATGAAATCAATTTATCAATAAAAATTTTTTCCATCCTAAACAAATCGTGCTCCAGTATTTTCTTAAGCAATGCAATACTGTCATACGAAGCTCTTTTTGCGATCACCTCTCGTAAGCGACCAATAATAAATCTTCGCTTTGGGTGGTCGCTTACAGGAGGTTCATATGTAGTTTACTGTCAGTTTCTCCAGCTTTGACTGTTTATTTTTTGTCAAACTACTCTTTTAAAAATAATTTTATCTTTTGAACAAAATTTTGGAAGTTTCACACTAAAGGTACTAATGACTAAAAATATAGTCAAAGTCAGGTCCGGGAGTCAGGTTCTTTAAGCGGGAAAATATAACAGTTTTAGACTTGCTGATGGAATGAAAATTCTTCGAGCCTAAAAGTTGCATGACCTTTTTCTTTGATCCTTTTTTTCTTTACTGAGTTGGTATTTTTATGCTCCTTCAGTGAAGCACCGAATTAAAAGAACATTTGGATATCAACTATTTTTTACTATTAATAAGTTACGACAGCTTTCGAGAGTTCCAATCAAGCTTACCTCAAAGACAATTCATCTTTTACATAAAGCAATTTGAAGAAAGAGAAATAAAGCCGTCATTTACGGAGTACTGAGATGAAGTTCGTTTAACTTTTAAAACAGTGACCCATACACTCGATATGTTTTCATTCAGCTTCAGCAAGCCAAATTATCTTGGCAAAAGCCCTCTTCCGATTACTTAAACAATTGTTTCTCGCCCTCACACACACTCCTGGATTCTGGATTCCACGCCTTGGACTCCGGATTCCAAGTATAGATTCGGGCTCTTTGACAGTGGGACTTAGATTCACGAATCCAATTGTTAGTGGGACAACGGATTCCTTGAGCTGTATTCCGGATTCTAAAGCCAAGGATTCCGGATTCCAAAAACATAAATTTCGCGGAATCCTGAATCCCGATTCCCTTACATGGAACAATGTTTTCGTCATTGGAGAAAGCGATATGGTCAGACTGTACTACACCTGATATTGAGATAACTATGATTCAGCCAAAACAGGAAACGTTACGCTAAAAACAGGAAAAGGTAACAAAGGAAATTACCACAGGAATAGTTTAATCGCTCTGTTGATCGACAAAAAGGGTTCAAGAAACTTCGGAACGATACAAAACAGCCTCTAGGTCTTGTTTAGTTCACTACCAGTAGGTACTCGTCCGCTGTATTTCGAATTGCATAGGCATGGTGGTAACAAACGCTAGTTCTGCGGAACAATTTTGCTTGGAGGTGTTTTCTGTGAAATTACATGGCGAGTTGATCTTTCTTGCAGTGGTAAATATGTTCCTTTCAATTACTGCATTTCTGGGGAATACTCTGATTCTGGTTGCGCTACACAGAGAATCTTCACGTCGTCCGCCTTTTGCTTCCATTATGCTGTATCGTAACCTAGCAATAACGGATCTCTGTGTTGGTATACTTGTGGAGCCAACGTATATTGCCTATTTGATGTCCTTGATGGACAAAAGATTTGATATTTGTCATTACACACGTGTGACATGCTTTTTTACAACACTTGTACTATGTGCAGTTTCTTTTCTGACCTTGACTGCAATTAGCGTGGACAGACTTCTCGTTGTTTTGCTGAGGCTCAGATACAGACAAGTTGCAAGTTCTAGACGAAAAGTTATAATTGTTATTGTTTTCTGGATATTATCCATCGTTAGAGCTTCACAATACTTTTGGAATCCTCTTTTAAAAACGTGGCTGTGGGGAAGGACAATATTAACACTTCTTTGTCTGATCACTTCAATTTTCTCTTACACAAAAATATTCTTCACCCTTCGTCACAACCAAGTTGATGTTCAGAACAGCGCTGCTCGAGGACAACCAAGCCAAGCAATTCCAGGGAATATAGCTCGGTACAGAAAGGCAGTGTACAGTGCACTGTGGGTACAGGTAGCATTCGTCGTTTGTTATTTACCCCTGGGTATAGTGGTAGCACTTACACCTCAAAGGCCCGTGCCTGTGAAGAATTACCTTGCTCGACAATTTGCCGTTACTTTAGTTTATTTGAACTCGTCATTAAACCCGCTGCTTTACTGCTGGAAGATCCGAGAAGTAAAGCGAGCTGTGAAAGCCACAATCAGACAACTGCCCTTTTTGTCGACTTAGGTTAACATCAAATTTTAATTTTTACTGGTGATATATATTTTTTGTTTTCATTGAAATATACCGTTAACGTCTTCTTATAAGCCCTGGGATTAAACAGCCATAGTAAGAGGTATTAGGAGGGCTTACAAACCGGGAGGAGGGCTTATATCCCAAGGAGCTTATAACCGGATGAAAATACTTTTTAAATTTACTCGCTTTTTTAAGCTTCAAAGCTTCGTAAAAAAATCGAATTAATTTCAATACAAGCCAGAGGAGGACTTATATCCGCCAGGCTGGAAAATTCAGAAATTTTTTACAAGAAGATTTTATTAATGATCTTAATAAATCTTGAATCTTTTAATGACCCTATCCTACTGGCCTGGCGAACGTGGAAGGCTATTTTGATTTTAATACAGTTTTAGATCTCCACGCCCCTATTAGCGCATATGCCTGTGAGACAATTATCAATACCGTAGCTGACATCTGACGAAAGAAAGTAATGAAAGGCAGCGATTATCATAAAAATATGCTGTAAAATATGGCTAGTGTGGCCACTGGAAACTTAATCAATCTGCCACAAACAAGGTAAATACTGAGATGCGTGAAGCGAAATCACTGCTATCGCCAAAAAATTGACGCTTGCAAAGCCACAGACACTAAGATGGGTTGGAAAATAATAAATTTATTCACTGGCAAGGCCATTAAAACTACTCTTATTAATGATATCCTTGTTAATGATTGTCTCAGCTTTACTTCAAATCTGCGACAACTGGTTTGAAAATCTGGACAACTGAAAATTTTGGGGCGAGGAAGTTTTTCTTGTTATTCGAAAGGCCTCTAATTCAGTTGATCATTCGATTTTGCTAGAGAAAGTTGAGTTTATGGAGCCTCTGATAGGAAACTGATGTGGTTTGAGTCCTATCTATAAACCGTCCAAAAGCAACAATGTTTCGGCGGTAGATGGACATTTATCTTTTCATAGAAACTTACTCTGTGAAGTTCCTTAGGGGTCTATTCTTGGCCGTCTGTAATTTCTTATTTATACGAATGATTTATCAAATTGCTTAGAGTTTACTACCCGCTGTTTACATGCGGACGATAGCCAAATATTTGCTTCTAGCATTGACGCAGATGTTCTTGCTAATATTATCAATTCTGATCTGGAAAACCTTTGTGACTGGCTCACAGTTAATAGGCTCCAATTTTACCTTTTAAAAACTTAGTTAATGCTCATTTGGTCGCCATATTACTTGAATAATAAATCTGAAGATTTACCAAATGCTATATCCATTGACAATAATATTGTTTCTCATGTAACCTCCAATAAATGTTTGGGAGTTTTATAAAATAAAACCCTCTCTTTAGAGA